TTCAAGGGTGTGTGAAAGGTTTGCAAATGTCATCAAGGTTCATCACAAGTATAATGGGCTCATACTGTGGTGGTAATGAACAAATTGTACATTTTTAACATTGAAACAAGGAGTAATTGATCTTTTAAATGGTAGTCTTAATGGTACAATTGAGATACTGCAATACATACATACATACATACATACATACATACATACATACATACATACATACATACATACATACATACATACATACATACATACATTGTATTGTATAGCGCCAATATTCAGCTCAGCTCAGCTGCTCAAAGGTGCTTAATTTTTCCCTCGTTCACTGGATGTCAATCTCAACGGCACATCGTATTGTCAATCTCAACTCCCTGGGACGCATACAACTCTTGCAGCCACTAGACGCACTGAGTTATCCTTACGTGGTACCCATTCACACAGCTGGGTGGACTGGGACACATAGTCACAGTTCTTTGTCCAAGTTTTACTGCACGTTGCTGTACCCGCAACTAGGTGTTTGCACGTATTCATGTGGCCACCATCTGGTCATATACCAACGGATTCGTTGGTTCTTTTAAGTGCACAGGGTTGTGTACTGTACACTAGGGGTTGTGACAGCACTGAAAGAGTCTGGACACAAAGTTGACTCCAAGGTTTTTACACCCAGTCACAGGTGGGCTCGATCCCGTCACCTCAAGCTCGCTGGATCACTAGCCTGGCGCTTTAGCCAGTTCGCCCACCACTGCAATGCTTAACCCCCTGGATGCCACAGGGACATATATGTCCTTCCCCTTCAACCCTCAATTTGAAGTCCAATAAAAATCAAAATGTCCCACGCACACAAATACACTTCACAGTTCCGAATTCTGTGGGAAATTTCCTGTTTCTTGATACCATCCACTATTATTTTAGACAAAGCTCAAGAGCTGAAAATGACCTTTCAAAATAGGCTTTATCGAAAATGTCGCCATTTTTGACACAGTACGAAATCGCGATTCACAGCGGTATTTGCTGTATGTTTTGAAATGTGAAAATCGGATAATTACTTGGAGTATTGAATTTCAAAAATAACATATTCATGCTCACTGATATCAGTTTTACATGAAATCGCTAATGATAATTCTGAAACGTTGCCGATGAATCTAGAATCGGTTGGGATATTTTCGAAAATACAATTACACGAACGCCGTAGAGCGCTTTCCGCCATATTGGATAGTGTTTACAAAATCAAAGTTTCACGAAGGCCGGTATTGAGACGCATATTACATCACGTATATTTCATATTAAGCTTCGAAAAATGCATCACTGAATTCCCCATACATTTTAGAATCAAACTGCAACTGGTCTTTGTCACCAATACCAACTGTCTAGATAAAATGTGACGCAACATATTGGGTGTGAAAACGAACGATGTGCTCGAAAGACTGCGCTTGATTGAAATGTAAACAAAGGCAAATTTCGATTTTGCACTGTGTAGCATTTTCTGTAATTTTCCAACATTCACCCGTCTATTCATTGCTTGCAATGGCTCAATACCTTTGGAATATGCATGTAAAGAGTATCGTAGCAAGAAATAGGAAATTATGAATAGATACAATGCAACGATTTGATAATTCATAAGAAATTGTCAAAGTTTCGTGCAGCGTGGCATTCATGACTGGCCTTAAAATCACATGAGAACGACAACTGTAATTATCAGCATTTTTGGCTTCTTCTCTTACTTACAGTGAAAATGATAAAAACATATAACAATACACAGATAGTCAGAATCATTCTGATTACTTACATGTCATATTTATGTACAAACGATCCCTGAATCAATGGAAGGGTCCTCGCAAAATCCTGTGTATCCTTGTCAGCAAAGCCGCCATTTTGTAAGAAATAGGTCATCGGTAGTGATGTAATACGTCAACATTGTTGTACATATTAGGCAATTTCTTTGAGGTGAAGGCCGGTTGAACAAGAGTAAACACAATCGCCCAATCCTTCCGATTACACTGTCAGTATTATGATGTATATTTTGCGTATAGTTCAGATATTTTTTCATGAAACTGACTTCAGTATCTACATTTAGCCTTGTTCAATATCATATCATACGTGCATATAGGGTTTACAGTGTTTTATTCCTTGAAAGTTTTTGATTGTTTGAATAATATTTACATAAGAAATTGACACATTTAGTGCAGTACACCATATTCTAAACCTTTACACAAGTGTTAGAAGATCAAACGTAGCCATAACTGCAATTACTTTAGTTCCTATGATGTACAATATTCAATGCATTTGGACTAATATTTCAGTTTTATATGAACAGTTTAATGAACAGCGTTTTAATTCAACCTTATAAGTAAAACTGATAATATTTAATGAAACTTATTTATATAAGTTATGAAATGTATATGCACACATATTTCAAGGAATTGTCTTGTTCATTGCATAATTTTATGTCGTTTTATAGACAAAACAATGATGTATATTAATTGACCAGGTGCGCGTTTGTCGGTAACATTTTATGATTCACTATCACTGTTTTCGATAATATAATCAATTCATATTCGATTAAGAGATATTGTGATGAGAGGATATCAAACTCTAACTATATTTATATGAAAATTGTTTAAAAATATATAAACCATGTCATGTTTTAATTTGGACAAATCTTACATCCATATTCTAATATATAGTTCCTTAAATAAAAGCTATCTTTTTGCATCTTTCATTACATACTTATGAAGAGAAATAGCTACATAATCATAAACAAAGAAAATTCTTATCCTAAACAAAATATTCGGGTGTTGTGAAATATTATTTTTCATTTATGTTAAATTGATGCCAAACAGGTGCGTGTGTTGCTCACAATAAGATACACAGTCAAACCGTCTATTGTTGATATATTCAGGACACTATTTAAATGTCAAAATCAGTAATTTTATGTTTTGTCGAAAGAGTGTTAAATTCTGACTTAGAAGCCGAGACCTTTTGTACAATTAATGGAAATTAGGTGAGATATATACTAATCAGCATACTAATGTCGTGTTTTTCCGACGTCGCAAAATGCATAAAACAAGCAATGACGTCAACTAAAATGTTGTATTATTTTCAGCAATTCCATTACATTTGAAGATATGGCTAGTACTCTGGTAATAACGATGCAAAATTAGTCAAAATACATCTACACAAACAGGAGAATATGGGAATCTAAGAACTAAGTTAATATACGGATAGGGCCATCGAATCGCTGTTTAGTGCTTTCACATGTAAATGCGTTGTCATCTTTTCTTATAAATTGTGAAACTACCATAGCGTATCCGCTCACATTGGGGAACTTTGAATTGGAATAGTTTGGTTCACCGTGAACAAAAAATATCGAAAATATAGCGTCCGTATCCACAACAAATTCTCTCCATGTGGTCTGAGTTACATTGACCTAGTGTTTAGCATAACGGAGTTATGCCCCTTATCATTATAGGTGTATGACCTCTCTGTCGTCGTTTGACGTCATAGAAGAAAATCCATTTTTGACATTTATTGCGAGTCATTTTTAATGTTAAGCGTATAACGTTATGCATAAGCACATAAACCCAATTCATATACACTTATGTCGTTCAGATATTAAGCTGTATTTTCTTCGCTCACACTTTCCATAAAGACGCCAAATTAAAAAAGTCGTAGCACAGTGCTTTAAATGCTGCGCGATAAAAAGCGGTAAAATTTGCTGTTTTTTTACGCATAACAAAAATTTGGACAACATATAACAAGGTCTATTTCTCAAACCGCCGAGGTAGTTGCACTTATATTTATACCAACAGATAGGAAATTTAATATTCTACATTTCTGTGTAATTTTATAGCCATACGTAGATCCAGGACCACGCGAGCGCAATTCTCGCTCAACGTTCACTTTATCAAACCGTATGAAAATGTGCGCCTGAAAAAAACCTCGGCATCAAGGGGGTTAAGGATTACTCTCAAGTGCCAATAATCATAAGCCAAAACATCAACAAAGACTTGATTCTCATTTCAGCTTTAAATGCCGAACATATTATATTCTGTTTGTATGGACATTCATAAATATAGATTGTGTACTGTAAGGTCTGATGATTACTTCAGCAAGAGGCCCCTAATTTTTTGCATGAAGTGATAGGTACACTGAATATTACTGTGTGTCCCTCTGGAAGCTACATATTCTTTTTACCTGAATCCATTCTACACATTTCAGGTGCAGCGTAAAACCCAACACACAGTTGGCATGCATGTTAACAAAATCTGGCAATGAGAATGATAATAATAATAACAAACGTTTTTTTTACAAAATGTATGGTTCTTGCCATAATTAGTTACAGCAATGAAATCGGACGGTGTGAATTTAAAATGGCACACAACACCGAGACTAGTGAGAGCTGACCTTTGCATCATCTTCCTTTGGTTTGATTCATTGCTACTTCGAATAGCAGTCATTTCAGCAAGATTTGACCTCTCGGACACGTGAAACCACCCTTTACTGCAGCAGCTAGAGACACAGCAGCACATCTCAAGCACTGTAATTGCTTTTGAAATTGACTATGCAAGAAACTTTGAACATAGTTAATGTACCTAGAGTATGCTTAGGACCTTGGTGATTGGCACCATCTATCGGTGAAATGGTAAAAGGGAATAGCTGTGGAATATTCCCCATTATACCATGGTTTTCCATACATGGATAGCCCTGAGAAATGTTCTTGAAAGGTTTACTGAAGGTCAGATTCACTCTCAGTGTCATAAGCTCACAGTGTATTATCTTCTGCTGCTAAACCATGTCTGTTCCTATGTTATAAGGCGTGGTCAGATACCATAGAGATTAAGCTTGAGCTCATCTTGCGTATGTATATATTTGGTTCCTCACACGACCAAAAAATATGTAAAGCCCATTTCTAGTGTCCAAACCATTGAAATTATTGAAATATTGTTGTGCCATTCCTTTTATCTCCCTTCTTACTTCTATTATATTCAATATGAACTCTCTTTTCACAGCATTCAACGGATTGAAGCTGAGACCATTGACATGGACATCGAAGCAGAAAAAGCCAGGAAAATGGTTCAAGAGATAGCTTTCCAGAAATGTGGCCTCCTCAGACAATTATGCATCAATACCCGGGTAGGAAGAACAATCATGCTAAGCTTGAGTAGTGGAAGTAGTTTTGTTGTCTGTTATCTTTAACTTCTTCATGTGTTCAAATTCTTTTCAGGTACTTCCTAATTGTTTGGGATGGATTTTTTGTAGGTTTGCCAGTATAAACTAAAATGAATACACTGTGGTTCAGCAAAACCCAATCAGGGATTTACAGGATGTGAATACCTGCGTCCTATATGCATCGAAATTTCTTAGCGCGTCCACAGGGACTTGGAAAAAGTCCAAATACTTTTCTAAAAATTCCAATTGACAATAAGTTATCACTGAGTTTGCTACTAGCTGGGTTATGATATTATTTGTAATTCAATTACTTTAACAATGTGATGATCATGATACACAATAAAATAACAATATTAACAAGAGTCATCAGAAGATGACATATCCCCCTGGCCCCCACTTATTTGAAAGAACAAATCATCTGACAGTTACTTAAAGTCCAGCTTGATATTTTTTTAGACTAAGTCCCAATCGTTTCGATGGAAATCATTAAATACATAAATGCCCAAAATCTGCAAATACCAAAGGCACCACTTCAAGATCTGTCTCACATATCTGCCAAGTTCTGTTGAAAGATATTGAATGGTTTTAGAGTTGTGCTCCGGAAACAAAAGCCCACCCCTCACTTTTGAGACTAAGTTTAAATCGTTTCCATGGAAACTGGGAAAAATACAAATGCAAAACATCTGCAAATAGCAAAAGGCACCACTTCAACATCTGCCTCACATATCTGCTAAGTTTTGCTGAAAGATATTAAGAAGTTTTCGAGTTGTGCTCCGGAAACAAAACCTACCCCTCCCTTTTGAGACTAAGTCCAAATCATTTCCATGGAAACCGAGAAAAATAAAATGCCCAAAGTCTAAATAGCAAAAGGCACCACTTTGGGATCTGCCTCACATATCTGCCAAGTTTTGCTGAAAGATGTTAAGAAGTTTTCTCGTTGTACTCCGGAAACGAAACCCACCCCTCCTTTTTGAGACTAAGTCCGAATCGTTTCCATGGAAACCAAGAAAATAATAAATCACAAAAATCTGTAAATAGCAAAAGGCACCGCTTTAGGTTCTGTTTGATATACCTACCAAGTTTTGCAGAAAAATCCTCAACGGTTTCTGAGTTATGCTCAGAAACGAAGCCCACCCCTCCTTTTAAAAAAAAAAGTTTCCATGGAAACCAAGAAATATAAAAATGACAAAAATCTGTAAAATATCGAACGGTCTTTCAGTTATGCTCTGGAAACAAAATAATTACGGACGGACGAGGCGATGACTATATCCCCCCGCATTACATGCCGGAGGGATAATAATAATATAATATTTAAGTGTCTGGGACCCCCATATTGTTGTCCAGCACCCCTGAAAATTAAAGGTATAAGTCCCAGGGACCCTCAAATACAGGACTCAAGGTAAATCCCTGCCCAATGTTATGTTTTCTGACAGTCTATATTGATTATTTTTTATAGAAAATAACACTGATGACATACAGTTTAGACAAACAAGTTTATCATGTTTTGTGATGTCACAAAGTTATGCATTTACAGTCTGTTTGGCTCAAAAGCAGACTAATGAATTGCAATCTAACTTGAAAACTAATAAATATATAATATTCAATAAAACGCTGATCATAAGCAAAACATCAGACCAACTCTTGACTTTTTATCCCCCGGGGATAGGGGGGTGGGGTGTATAGTCGACGCCTCATCCGTCCGACCGTCCGTAATCATTTTGTTTCCGGAGCATAGCTCAAAATATGTTCAATATTTTTCAACAAAACTTGCACGGGATATGACGACAACACGTGTCCACGAAGTCAGCGAGTCTGACCACCCGATACCATAAGTCACCTCTTACGACAAACATGGTTCAATGAAGATCAATTCTAACCCGGATCTTCACAGGTGCTAGGCTACTTGTTAAAAACTCTAGTAAGGTTTGGAAAGTACAACCAGTATTGTCCTTTTTACTGCCAGGAGAAAATGTAACGATATGGGTATTTATAATACTGAAATTACTATAGGACAAATACTTTGATAGTAGGTGGTGCATGCTTGTTTATCAACCGTCTTAAAATTTTGCTCAGGAAACGAAACGATTTCTGACTGACACAGGAATGACTATATATCCCATGGTATAGTATGACCAGAAATTATTGAGAATTTTAGGAATATGTTTAATTGGATTTCTAGTATAAACAACCTTGACCAGCTATCAAGTGCCTGGTTTCATTCAAGAGAGACAACTCCGTTAATCCTTTTTCATTCGTTTGTGAAGAGTTATCCCCCTTTGTTTACTTGCTAGCAGACGACATTTTCAGTGATCCTCAGTATGGATGATTTAGAGAAGAGGAAGTTGATTTTAGAGTATTATAACAAGGACATCTGATCAGCTAAAGTGATTTCAAGTAGAACAGGCATCCCTTTGTCCACTGTTTATCGTGTTTTGAAAAATATTGCAAATGGATATGGCATTGAGCACCAGGGAGGCGCAGATATTGACTGTCGGTGACAGGAAGCGGCTTGGTATTCTTGTTTCTAAAAACAAACGAAGGAGTTTAGAAAATGTAAGGCTGGATATGATTGATAGAGGAACTGTGGCTGTCTGTAAGGAGACAATTAGAACTGAGCTGCATGCAATGGGTTGGCAGAAAAGTCGAGGAATTCCATCACCGATCATGAAAACTGAACAAAAGGAGCGAAGGTTGAACTGGTGCTTACAGCATAGAAATTTTAACTGGGACAATATGATTTTCTCAGCTGAAAGTTCTGTGTGGCTGTTTCCTAATACACTGAAATTCTGGACCAAACAAACTGAAAAACCTCTGTATCCGGCCCCAAAAACAGTCCGAAATTTAACGTGTGGGGTGGCATATCTGTGTTAGGGGCAATGCCCCTCTGTGTATTTGAAGGGAATATGAACAGTGAGCGGTACACAGATATTCTCGAGGGACATTTACTTCCATCTGCTCACGTGTTCTATGGAAATTTTTGGACAATGACCCAAAACATCGTTCAAAGCTTTCACAGGCCTGGTTTCGGACCCAAAATATGACATTATTAGATTGGCCAAACTATAGCCCTGACCTAAATCCAATAGAAAATGTTTGGGGACTTATAAAGGAAAGTGTCAATAAGAAAAATCTGACAAATATTGCTGAAATGAAAGAAGAGGTGGTCCGATATTGAGACAGCATGGACCACGACTTTCTAACTTCTTTGATCAGTAGTATGCCCCGCCACATTGAAGCCTGCATTGCTGCCCATGGTGACTTGACAAAATACTAACTGTTCACCTGTCTTTGAATCTGGAGTTATGTTCTGCTAATATTCACATTTAATACGTGAGTAATGAGTGAATTTTTTTTTAAAAAATACAATCTTTAAATTCTCAATAATTTCTGGTTGTACTATATAACATGTCGCTGGGGGTAATTGTCATAAAATCATGTACAATTCGATGTACCGGGAGGTGGAAAACTATTGCAAGCAGCATTGAACCAAATCACTTCACCCAACCACATCTCAAATACTCATGTTAGCCTGAACACAACCCTTCAAATAATTGGACTTCCTTTACTCAGAATATATTCTGTTACTGTTAAGTTTTGCTTCGAATAGCATTCTCACGAAGCATGATTCTCAAAATTATTCCAGATATACAGACTATGAGACCAAGGGCATCTCTGTCACCCCTTTGAAAAGCCCTTGGTTTGAAGGGTTACTGTCAGTGTAGTTCAAGCCACCTGTTATGTTAATTAATACCTTGTTCAGTTATTACCATCTCTAGTTACAGAAGTAGGAGCTAAGTGCAACGCTTCCAAACAAGGGTGTACACAGGGTCAGTTCATTCAGTTTGCAACAGATAATGTCGATCAATCGGATAACATGGATTAACGCATACCGATGACGTTTCTGTCAATCAGGTGACTGTTTGCCAAGGTGGCCAAGGTGTTGATACGCTAAAAGGGATGGGTTCATCTGTTCTTTAACAAGCACTTTGTTCAGACTTTGGTGAATCAAATTGCTTGATGTCTTGAACAATTCATGTAGAATATAAAATGATCACTAGATTGTACCATTCTCAGTTGTGTCACCTTAATGCCTATGATCAACCTGATCCCAGACTCAAAGCTATATTTGCTCAACTTATGTTTGTGAGCGGTCAAGTTAAATGTGAAGTACAATGTCGGTACACATTTCAACAAACTGTATATAGGTTAACCAGAGTCAAGTGATCTACACAGATTCATATTCACGTGGAAGTCAGCGGGTTGTATTTGACAGATATCTCACATAGGACACTGGAAGTGGATTTACTGTGAGAATGTGTCACCCGTATGTTGACATGGAAGTTCCGTCATGCATGATCTGGCCATGTGTATTTCAATCGGTTCCATGATGTTACAGCATAAATGTATTGATGTGGATTTCAACCTTTAGCAATAAATTATACACTCTTCTTTTAGTAAACCTAAACCTAGTGTCATGGACAAATACCTGGAGAGCAAAAGCACCGCTTAGTTTCTTAATTGAACTCCTATTGGCTTTGGAGATAGCCACAGCAAGTATACTACCATGGACAAAGTCAAACTGATTGCCTCACTCACTCACTCACTCACTCAACTTGATCCTCTCTCTGTTCAAAGTTTATGAATGAGTCTGTGTTAGTTTTAGAGATATAAAATGAAATTTCAATTATTAGAGACTTACCTTGAGATGGACATACAAGTTGTCTACTTTAATACAATAAATAGACATCTGTACTATCAAATATGTGACAACAGCTTCTCCATATTGATAGAGGATAGTTCTCTTCAGATAAATCTAAACTTTGAGACAAAAGAGGAACTGCCTGTTCCCGAAGTTGTGTTTATTTTGCCCTTGAAAATAGAAAATATATGCTCTGAAAAGTCTTTTTTTTTCTATGGTTTTATCAAAATTATATGACTTTTCCAGCCCATGTATTATTCCTTGT